AAAAACCATGTTGAGGTATGGTACATACATTCAAAAGCAGAGGTACATATTACATCCTATTCTATTCCAAAAACAAAGATAGCTAGGTAAGATGGTGTCTAATCTTCCATTTCTTCTGGGTCCTCATCGGGATCTTCCTCTGGGTCTTCTTCTTGGTCTTCTTCTAACGTGCTTTGCTCCAAACTATCTGGTAATGGCACGGGAAAATTTTCATCTAGAACTCTCGAAAAGCACTTGGCCAACGGTCCCTTAACTAGCCTAGAATTGGTAGCTCGTAAACTGGTATTCATGGATAAGATTATAGTCTTCTTAAAGTTTCGCTGTAAATCACGGGTAGTCCCATAGCTCTCTCGAAGCAAATATGTAAGGTCTTCATACGAAAGGTCATCGTCAGACCATAGCACAATCTCATTTATGACTGAGGCCCAAGGTTCTGGATCAGTTTCATATAACCTTTGTATTTTCACCTTATCCCTTAAGTTATGGTGTATCTCCCATAACACCTCAATAATACAGTCTAGCAGATCCAAATGTTGTTCGAGACTATGGAGCGGATGCATACGATAATTATAGTAAAATGCCAATAATATGTCCCGCTTCTTCGCAAAACCACAAGCTTCTGTCCTTGTGGAGGTTCTTATCATTCGTGCCATAACTAGGACAAACATTGATTATGTTACTCTACAAGGTTCTCATAAATATCTAGATATAAGTATTTATGACTTCATAATCTCTACCATGATTTGATTCAAAATATTCCCATATCCAGCCATAGATATAACAGTTCGTTGCATGAGAAAACTCATGAATTTAAAAATAAATTTTACCTTGATCGTTGGTTGAAAGTCAGTTGCTAACTTCCTCGATGATTAAGGACAGTAACTTTCTTTTAAAAAGTCTACAGAAAAGTAAACCTTGCTCTGATACCAAACTGTGACACCCCGAACTTAAGCTTCGAGGGTCACGTACTAAATATAATGACTTCTGCCTTTGGTACATGTAAATACTCTTAAATAGAAGTATTACATGTTAGAAACTTATTTTTTCAATTTGGTGAAACAATTCTTATAAAATTTGATGGCCGGTAAAAGTGCATGTCAACATGAAATTACACTTTACATATGCGGCCTCAGCACTATCAAGGTTAGTTGGGGCAGCAAGTTTGACAATTTTTAAAAAATTCATCCCAACTCCGTTTTATATGAAATTTGTGGCATTAGAAAGATAATTCCAAGGAGTTTTCTATGTTAAAATATGAAAATTTTCCAAGATCATATGATATAGACGTTTTACTGAAAACAGTGAAGTATTACACAGGAAATCCAGATTGACCCCTTGACGTTAAAACCTTGATAACTCAGGCCATAGATATCCAAATTGAGTGATTCCTTTGGCCTTGTTTAGAAAACTCAAAGGGGAAAACAGAAATATTTTTAGAATCTCAAATGGACATTTATAGAGTTAGAAACATCATTTTGAAATTGACTCCAGAAACTGTCCCGTTTCTGCCTTTTGTCTCTTGTAAGGAAAATAAATTACAAAAATATCTCTTAACATAACATGAAAGATATAATTACAAAATTTACTATTAATACCATATTCCATCATGTCATGTACATATTTTTACATAATACCATAAGAAAGATAGATGGAACAACAGTCATCGAGCAAAACATACAAAAGAAAACTTTTGGTACAAAACATCTTTGTCCTTAATCCATCATCGATTTCACCAACTAACTTCCATCAATCCAACGATCATGGATCTGAAAATTTAGCATAACATACTATGAGTATAAGAAATACTCAGTAAGATACCATGCTTGGATTTTTATCATGATAATACTACACAAAAGAATGCAATCAAACACATACTTGCACATTCCGGCTTGCCGGTGCCCTTCGGACTTGTCCTAAGGCATAAATAGATATCTAACTTTGTGGACTTGTCCACCATAATCATATTATGGTTTTTCTTGCATAGCTTAAGCATAAATATTACCATGAAAATCATAACTCTTAAGCATGGAAAGTATCTTACCGTAATTCTTGAAGATCTTCGATTGAGATGTAAATTGGAAGTGCTAGTCTTACTTCCTTCCCTTTCCTTTCTTATTTTCGGTTTTTGCTCTCTTTTTAAGTGTATTAGTGTTTTGTAAAATGAAAGAAGTCTCTCTATGACAATGGATATGGATGTATTTATATATATATAAAGATAAGGATAAGGCTTGATATTTTTTTTTCTTCCTTTTCTCTACTCCACCGCCTCACCCCTTTTCTCCCATTCTTTTTTTTTTTTTTTTTTTTTTTTTTACCTTTACACATGTTTAGTCTATTGTCTAAGTGTATGGTGATGATGGATAACAAGTGGGTTGATTATAGGGTAATAAGTGGCCTTAAAACCTAGATTTACAAAGGAAGCCTCTTATCTTTTCAACTAATATAATCTAAACCCTCTAACTTTCATTGTTAACAAAGTGTACCTCAAATTTAAACTTGTATCCAACTTACATATTCAAAAAATTGTAGATTGTAAAATAATTTAATCATTTGGTCAATTGAAGTCCTAACAAAATAATCCACTTCATTAAAATCCAAACTTGCCTTAAGTTTCGACTAACTAATAATCACTTCATGGATACACAACCTTTGACACTTCACGCCTACATTCATTAACTACCTCTAACATTAACCACTACAAAGGTAGTGCCCCCTTTTACCTTATGGCCAAAAATAGTATTGAAAGTTAAATCGCTATCCCAAAGAAATTTAAACGAGCATAAAATTTCGGAGTATTACAACTACTTTCTTATAATCTCTAGAAAATAAGTATGCAGTAATCTAGTACAGGATACCAATGAGTGCAACATCATGATCCGGGAGAATTTCAACAAGATCCAGATCAGGCATTTGGCAAGCAGATATGAATGTGGACTTCACATCTTCATGTGTCACGGTATCCACTTGAGAAAAGTACTTATTCTTCAGTTGTGACTGTCTACTTTCAAAAATGCCCGTGTCACTATCGCCAGAGTATCTCAGCCCCATGACTATGCAAAACTTAGATATAGAGAATCTAACATAACGCCCAACAACTAAAAACCCCATCTCTTTAGGATTAGGTTGTTGGACCTGCCGCAAGAGGAAGTAGTGAATTAATTGCGATTGTACCACAATTTCATGGCGGTCGAGAAAATGGGCAAAGCATGTTCCCATCATAAGGAGCTTCTGTCGGTCAGATAATTTTGCTTGGATACTTGAAAGCACACCCTTGCTGACCGATGTTGTAATCTTACCGGGGAACCATCGTTCCTTCGGTATGATATATTGCCAATCCTGCACAAAATTGTTTAAAAAGACCCAATGTTAAGTAAATGTGGGGAAATCACACACAATTAGATGTATGCAACTGTGTACTCTGGCTACATATGGATTAACATTGTTGTATAACCAGATATAATATGGTCACAGGTATGTGTAATGCTGTGAATCCAGGCGTCATATTCACAACAAAACTTAGTCATAGACGATTATCATGGTCACATGCCATGAGTATCATGTTCTATATTCAACTGAATGAGGTCACATAGGTATGCATTGTTACGCAATAAAGCCAGATAACTGTTGTCAAATCATGATACAAACCAATTACTGACATACATTTTTGTTGTGCATTCAAGCCACAAACCATGTAAGCCACAGTCACATATTGAAATCTTCATCAATGTAGGCATCGTTGTTCATAATGCCTACTGTCATAGATGTATAAATAAATACTGTCAACAATTAGGCCACATGCAACAATCAGGTGAATCATTAAAAGCCACACATTCATAATTCCCTTGTTCACATATTGAGATCTTGGTCACACATAGATAATGGTCACAGACAATTGATCAATTGACAAATGATGTACGTTCCTATGTACTTTGTTTGTGGTGCTATATACTTTGTTGTGCATTCAAGCCACGAACCATATCAGCAACAGTCACATTTTGACATCTTAGTCAATGTAGGCATTGTTGTTCATAATGAATATAGTCGCAGATGTATAAATCAGCAACGTCAACAATCAGGCCACATGCAACAATCAGGTGAATCGTTAGAGGCCACACATTCATAGCTCCCTCGGTCACACATCGACATCTTGGTCACATATTGATAATCGCGAGGTCATAGACATAATTTTTGTTATGTAATTAAGCGACATTTCGGAAGAAATATAGGTCACACTCAATATTGGTACCAAGAACCCTAATCCAACGATTAGGGCCGATTAAATGTCAGAAAAATTACATAAGACTTCAATGCCTCTAATCCATGAATTCCATCACCATGTTTGCCAATAAAATCATAATAACTAACACCTAAAATTATAATTACCTTTTTCGAGCGCAATTTCTTCGCGGTCAGAGACGCCCATTGCTTATTAGGTGGTGTTTTTTGGGGGCTAACCACAGATTTCCTCTTGCTTCTACGTTCGGACGTCTCTTCGACATTGATTATCAACTTCGCGGCCTTCGACTTTTCCATTTTAGATGTCCACAGATATTTGGGTGAAAACGACGGAGTGTATTATCCACTGCTTGATGTGGCCGGACGTGGCTTGTATTCTAAGTTGCCGGTAGTGAGATCAATGAGCAGTGTAGACGATTAAGAGAGTGGGAGATAGATGAAAAAGCGAAATTCCGGCACTTGGGAGGAACCGTGTAGAGGATTGAGAGATTGGGAGCAAGAGAGTGAGAGATATATGAAATGATTTATTATGGAAGTTATTATAATTAAAATTCAAATTGCGATATTTAAGGGAACACAACAGTTGCAATACATATCGTTTAAAAACTAAATTATAATTTTATATTAAATATATAATAATTAAATTAAAACATGTGATTTGCATAAACAACTTTGGTGGCTGAATCTTGTACAGTGATTTCCAAATATCGGGAATTCTATAATTTCCACTTTTCTTTCTCCATTGTTCTCCCTCTTTTTTTTTTTTTTTTATGTTTGAAATATCGGGAGGGCTAAGTTTTCTCAGGCACCCGGGTTTCACGTGACCGGGCTCACCAATTGGCAATTAGCCCGCCGTTAGAAGACCTCTCCACCTATTCCATTCCTTTGTGATTCTCTCCCCCCTCTCATTTCCTTCTCCGAGAAGCATTACACTTCACTCTGTGTCTGTGAACTAGAGAGAGACTAGCATCCGATCTTCTCTATCAATCTTTTAAGTAAGAAATTTCTTTAAATTTTAGTAATGTTTTCTTTAATTTGCATTGGCTAAATTTCGTTTTTAGTGATCTAGTAGATTTTCATTTCCTTAACAACATAAATAATTTGTTAGATGAATCGTTTTATTTGATTATTGAATTGCATTTCTGGAATTTTGTACCAGTTTTATTTATTTGTTTTTCAATTGAATGTAGTAGTCTGTGGTTTTTGTTGGTATTCTAAGTTGATTGTTTGTTTGTTGAAAGGTCAGAGCTTTAGGAAAAAAATTAATAAATTTAAAGATATTGATCAAATATCAAGCTCTACTTTCAATGTGTTATTTTAATGTTCGAAATTCGGAAGAAATTCGTTTTATTTTATTTGCCTATAGTCATGAAAGGAAGAATTCACTTTTTTATCTTGATGATAGAGACTTATCGATTAGTAATTGGGAATTTAAGTAAAACAAAAAAAGAAAGGGGGAAAAAAAGAAAGAAAAGAGTTGTAAGCAATGAATGTACATATACATGGTGAAAAGTACTTAATTTCAGAAAATTGTTGGTGAAAACTACTTAATTTTGGAAAATCAATGGTGAAGTCTGTCAATTGTATTAACATTTTTGGTGAAAACCACTTAATTTGCAATGCTTATCTGTTCTCTTTGAAATGCCTGAAATATGAATAGATTCTTAATAAAACCTTGATGACTTCGTAGATACAATGAATTAGGATTCACAGGTAGCGTATATTTTGAAGTCTAGGTATTTTTGGATTTATAACATTCGAATGCAGGGGTATTTTCAATTGGCTTGTTTGTTCTACTTTGTCATTCGTTAATGTGTTTTAGCATTGTGCATATATTTACATAAAATCATTGAAGAATTGATCAGATGTACTTTTCCATTATTTTCCCTTTTAGTATATTTCGTTTGCTGTTAGCTTGACATCCAGTGCTTAGTTTCATGTGCCCAGGTAATACGTCACTCTTTTGTTCTTCATCTGTTTGCTTTCCAGTGAAAAAATTAACTTTTTTCTTTTATAAGAATGAGTCAGAAACAACCTATGCATCACAATCCTGAATGAGGAAAAAACCCCTTCAAATCAGTCAATTTTGAACTTTAATCCGATTAAAAAAAAAATTTAAACTTTAATCACTTGAAATAAGTTTCTCGCAGTTTTTAGTTAAGTCTGCCTTAAAATCCATGCCCCTATTCCTCTTCAATCCTCTTACTCTTCTCTCATTTCCTTCTCCAAGCTTTACACTTTACACGCGCGCGCGCACACTCTCACACGTGCACAGAGAGAGAGAGAAGAACATCACCATTTTTCGAGTAAGAAATTTCTTCAAGTATTTATATTGTTTTCTTCAAATTTTATTAGCTAAATTTAATTTATATGAATAGATTTTCATTTTCGTTTGATAAAAAAAATCTATTTATTAGATTGTTGAATTGCATTTCTGGAACTTTGTATCAAGCTCTGTACGATTTTATTCTTGAATGTAGTGGTGGGGCTTTTGTTGGTAATATGAGCTTGTTTGAGCCCCATTAAAATGCTAAAATTCATTTTTGAATGGTGAATTGATGGAGAATGTGTGGTTAAAAATAAATAAATGTTTTATTATTATTAGCCCTTGTTTGAGCTCCATTCTTTTGAAAAAAATGTATTTTTCAACATTGGTTTGATATCATTTCAACAACATATTCTTCAATAAAATAATATTACAAGTAAATCGAAAATTTTTCTTTATTTTTTAACCATACATTTCCCATCAATGCATTATTCAAAAATTCATTTTTCCCCCAAAAATGGGGCTCAAACAAGGGCTTATTATTATTATTTTTGGTGAAAGCTTGGAGCTTTACCAAAAGAAAAATATTTGATTTTGAAGAAATTGATTGGTTTAAACTAACATGTAATCATTAAATTATAGAAGGGTGTACAACCAGCTCAATTGAATTTCTTTTTCAAAAGTCTTTATTGAAATGCTTGCTTCTTTTTCAGTTGAAGGATAAAATGGAAACACTGCCTTCGACCTTTTCTTACACCAATGAGGACCAAAAAAATCTCAAACAATTACTCGATGCTTTTGGGTCTGTGGTTTCTCTCGACGACATTGCTTCAGCTTACTGTCTTGCAGATCGCAACTTAGTAACTACAGGCGAAGTACTCCTTAAGATGCAGGGAAGCACCTCTGGCACATCTATGTCAGTTTCACAAGATGGTCTGGAAAGAAAAGCAAGTGTATCTTCTGAATATCAAATGGATAATATCCTGGAGAGTGCTCGTGTTTCTAACTCCAAGGCCAAAAAGTGTTCAGCATCAATGGGAACTGTGTCATGTGTGATTGGGAGAGAATATTCTCGACATAGGTCTTTACCTAATGAATCATGCAAGAAGACCAAACCACTGAAATTGAATTCAAACGATTTTCCAGTCTCTGAAATTTGGGATGAGAACGCGGAATCAGATTCTCCGGCAAGAAGTGAAACCATGCATCGTGACATCGAACAATTTCTTTTCAAAATGCTTGGAGATGGCTTTCAGCTCGAAATGGATGTAATTCAAGACGTCGTTGGTAAAAACTTTTAGCTTGATACTAAAGAGTTTTAGTTTGGCGAAGAGCTGGCTTTACAATACCCTGCAGAATTTATTTTTTCTCTATTTCTCCTTTTCATATTGTGTTTGTGTATGTCTCTCTGTGTTAAAGTTTCCATATTCGTGCAATTAAAAATGACTTTTCTTTTTGTGTTTAGCAACAGACAATGCCACGTAGTGCTTGTTTGATTTAATTTATACTCAATGTAATTTAAAGGTCAAAGTCAAACTTTAATTCTAACCACACAATATGTAGGACCCACAACCACTATACGCTTATCTGACACGCATTTCTATCAATTTGTAACATCAGCAACTTATAATCTCTCCCACACAAGCACTAAATGTGAAAGGAATGACTTTATTAAGCCAAAAGATTATAAACTCAACTCTCTTATTTCTTGGTATTATTATGTCTAATCATGCAACATCTTCAATTTGCAGGCCAGTGTGGATACGACATACAAATGGTAAGTCTATATTGATTTTCTATATCAGCTCCTAAATCTTGCCATCATCGAAAGATTTCTGCTGTTCTGAATTACAGATGAAGTTTAAAATTTATAAATTTTTCCAGGTTCAGTTGCCTTTTCAACTGTATTGCACTTAAGCTATCATTAACTTCCCACCTATATGCGCTTTTAGTTTCTTCACATGTTGCTATTTTGGTTTGCTATTGTTGTGATGACGAAGTTGTGGATTTAAGTCTGGATGTAGCAACTTACATGTAATACTAAAGAGTTTCTACCAGCCTTCGGATAGCAGACTTTCTTAGAAGGAACTATTTGGAGAAATATTTGCATGTTTCAGTGCATTTCTGTATGCATTTGATTTTCTAAGTTTACAACTTCTTGTTGTTCTTTCTCTTTTGTAAATATGCAGAGCATGGATAAACTTCTCAGCCTGTCAACATCATCACTAGGGAAGAAAGACGATATTATTGGCATTGATGCTCATAAGGTAAGCTTGATTTCTAAAAATAATAATAATAATAATAATGATAATACTTGGAGAGCATCTCTATCCATTGTGTGTGCATTACAATTTGTCTTTACATAGACAGAAGCTCGAGATGGCAACTTTTGTGATGAAGTCATGAATTGTGCAATTTATGCTTCTGAAGATGCTAAATGTTAAAATGTCTTTGCGCTTCATGATTTTCCTCATATCATCCCATCCGACCTCACCCCTATGCAGGATGATAACAGATCTATCAAGAAAATTTTGCTTCTTATTTTTCTTGATTTAGAATGGTTTTTAAGGGTTTGGAGATGTAACTCATAATTGATGTAAAGTTGCAGTATAAACAGTTTACACTCTCCGTTAGCATCTACTGAATCTCTTTTTTAACCTATATTCTCTGTCTGTCAACTCATCTCATTAAATAGCATATGCAGAATAATTCAGAGCTAGAAGATGTTCCATTTAAAGGACAACCATCAAACAATGACTTCTGTGAAAGGTATAATTTGTTCATTAGAAACTTTTATAAGCTGCAAGTGTTGCTGTAGGAACTCTCCTCTTCTTCAAAAATCTCAACCTAGAAACTATTTTAGTACTAGAAAATGTATGATGTTTTCAATATTTCTTTTGCACTGTGCAGATCGAATGCTGATATCACAACTGGAAGGGAATTAAGATTACCTAGAAAAGAGAAGGAAAAGCAAGATCTCCAAAATGAAGTTCTTCAGGCACTATTTAATGCACCTGAAAGAATTGAAGAGAAGCCAGAGAGAATTCATCCAATCAGAGGAGACAGGCAAAGGACACCTTATGGCCGGTTTGTGGCGAAACCACCAGAAGAGACAACTTTAGAAAATATTACCTTTATTACAAGACGACGAGTTAATGAAAGGAGTGAGTACTCTGCCTCTTTATGACATGATATGGTTTTTTATTTTTCCAATTCCAATATGAAGCTTAGGTGTTGTAGATGGTAGATGATTTGGACAGAATTTGCTCATTGCCTGGCTTTTCTTGTCTTCGTGTCTGATAGAATATCTGAACTGCAAGTTTATATATTATGCAAGGAGTATTCATGTGTTGTCATGTGGTCAGCAAGTTCTAATTTTTCTCTATACATTTTTATTATTTGCTTGTTCGTTTTATATCCTTGTACAATCTTTTCATTCGTTTATGCGAAGACAATGATAAGATGAGCCACTTGTCATTGTTTCCATTTTCTAGAGGCAACTTCATAGAGCATCTTTCTTCTTGAATACGGCGCACAAGTTTTTTTGCTTTATTATTGGAACTAGCCACTTTGAATTATTTGTTCAAGTTTCTTTCAGACAAGAAATTTTTTATATGTCAATGCTCAGATTTATTCCAAAAGAAATACAGTGCAGTGCACCAAATTTTATCGTTAACCATAATGCTTGATGGCTACTTCCTGCCTCCAATGCTGGAATTATTAAGCCCTTGTTTGAGCCCCATTCTTTGGGGGAAAAAAATGCATTCTTAAACAACGTTTTGACATCATTTCAATTACACATTCTTCAATAAAATAATATTACACGCAAAACCAAAATTTCTCCTTATTTTTTAATCACACATTTCCTATCAATAAACTATTCAAAAACTTATTTTTTCACCCCAAAATGGGGCTCAAACAAGGGCTAAACAGAGAGCAATTCTATTCTATTTTATTATTCATTACACAGGAAGTGTACATTTGCATTTTCTGAAAAGGGTTATTTGGTTACTTGGTTTCTCATCCATCACTTCAATACTCTCCTGTGCGTATGAATGGTTGTTTTTAGGTGATGAAAATGGTGAGAATAGCTATGAGGACTTGCGCAAGGCTGTGAAGGAGTATCGGGTTACGATGAAAGAATACTTTAAAGCTGTAAGTCTTTAAGCTCCCATGCCCGCACCTCATCTCCTTCAACTCTTGACAACTCCCTATCTGACTCCTTCTGGTCTACATTGAGATCTGAAAACATTATCAGATGTATCTATCAGAATTCTAGATTGAAATTCAATATTCATGGTTTCTGGACAGGCTATTGATGCTTTCACTGAAAAGGATCATGAGAAATCACAAAAATTTCTGCAAGAGGTATACTAAATGTCTCCTTTAAACTCGCACTGGCCACTAATGCTTTGATTTGAAAATGTTCGAACAGCATATTGTACTCTTTTTATCATGTTATTCTTATGGCTATACCACCAACTTTTTCTTGAACTTCATCATCTAGTCTCTATCGAGACAGCATATGGTTAGATTTTGAGATCTCAAGCATGCTTTTGGCTTTTGGTTCTCCTTGACAAAAGAAAAAAACTATTGATCGTCTGATGTTAGATTGAGCTATACGTTGAACTTCTCATCACATATTATTAACAGATGCTATTCTAATTTCTTGTTTTCTCTTACGTTTTTTCTTCTTCTTCTTTTCCATGCTGGTTTTTTTTTTAATTATTTTTTTTGGGGGGGGGGGGGGGGGGGTTTGGGAGATCCATGCTGGTTTTCCGTATAGGGACAATTTTTTATGAAGAAGGCCCGAGAAGCAGATGAAACATCTGCGGCAAAACTTCTTGAGAACAGGTTAGAACAACGTGCTATGCCTTTTGTCTTCTTTGACTTCTTCCTATTATTCTTCCATTCCATTGCCTATAAAATGGCCTAATAACTTGCACTTTCTGCAGTTGCGAAGAAGAAGAATTTTCTCTTAATGTGCATTTATTTGAGCCAAAGGAAGCTGTTCGCATGCTGAGACTTCACTTGTCTACTCTTTCTGGTCTTCCATGTACATTATCATTCTTTCACTTTTTTCATAACTAGTTTCTACTAAAGACCTGGTTCTGAATTGTTCTTTTTTCATCAGCTGTTCAGCATCTCAAAGTTATAGTTGGGACCAACGAAAAAGATGCCAAAGAAGGGCTTCGGAAGCGAATGGTATGGGCATTCCTTCCATTGCTTGATAATTAAAGTTTGTGCATATAATCTTCATGTTCTTATGGAGTAGGATGAAACTAGTGCTTTGTCTGGGAGATTTTTCTAAAATCATTTTCAACTACACATTCTATGGGACTCGTAACCATTCCCTACTTTTTAACTACACATTCTCCAAAAAATCATTTTTCATCTGGGAAAAATCTCTCCCAAACAAACGCTAGATTAGCAGTAAGAAATTTAACTTTAAGTGAACGTTTGATATATAACAGTAGATGGGTTGAACGGTAAACAAAAAAAAGTCGTTTTTTTTTTAAAAGTTTATTTCTCTTATTTAATACGGTCTACTATTATTTAATCCTCCCTACCAAACATGTCGTAAAAGCACACAACAATTTATAATGCCATATCATATTTGTGCGTAGTTCATCTCAATTTCTGATGAATATCAAAAAACTCATTGGATGTTATCCAATGAATTTCCTAATAATTTTTCATCTGACTGAACAAGATTTTGATGATAGATTAACCCCAACCACTGTAATTGAATATTTTACCTTCGCGATATAAAGACTGTTACAAAACTATTTGCAATTTTATTAGTTTGATTGCTGATGTTCATCGAATACACATGGTTGTTGGTTAGTATGTTGGGTTAACTGCAACTTTTGTACATCAATTACATCTCTGTCTGGCGCGATGGTAATGCATCATTTATTTTTGAAGGGGAAGAAAAATATTCGAGATGCTGTACCAAGGTGTTTGGCACTGTATCTATGATATGTGAGGCTGTTTATTGATCATTGGAAATGTCCTCTTGTTTCTGCTGCAGATTATCAAAGTTTTAGACCGGGAGTCTATACCTTTTACTGAGGATGAGAGTGGCAAGATAATTACAATCCGGGTTGATGAGATTAATCCGGAGAAACAGAGTTTTGCTAAAAAGTCTTAAAATTTTTGAAAGGCACGAGGATTGGAACATTGAGGGTTTTCTACCAAGTTTTGCCATCGGTTGTTTACTTGGGAAGCAATATATATTTTGTCAAATTATGAAAGTAACTTTGCTTCGTCGAATTTGTAGATCACGAGGAAAAGAGTGCATCTATATATGATCATCGTCATTGGTAATGCTACATGATCTAGCACAAGAAATTTGGGAATACATGTAGTAGTAGGATAGGAGTATGGATAAATTTGGGAAACAAACTTTTTGAAATAAAATAATTGACCAAATCTTGTTAACCAACTTTATCACTCAACAAGCAATACCTCTCCCGCATATGGCCAACAAATTGGAATCAATAAGGTCTCTCTCTCTTCTTATATATATTTATTATTATTAAAATATTCAATCCTAAATTAACAAAGATTCTTCATTCCTTTCACGTGACTTGAGAGAAATTAAATTCATTAAATAAGTATAACGTGAACAGAAATTAAAAAAAATAATAATAAAAAATAAAAATTGTAGTTGGGTGTAAATTCATTAAATAAGTATAACGTGCAGAAAGCTAAACTAAGCAGTTTATAGATATACATCTTTCTTATTTTTTCTGCATTTGTGAGTTATATACTTCTTGGAACACTCATTTTGATCGTCATATGCTGGGTGGAAATTTTGAGAAATACGTTTGGTTCTTAATTTTCCAGAAAAAACAATTTAGATGAGTTAAGCCCTCAAGGGAACAGAGGCTAGCACAAGAACAAGTCTCCATCCGATCAAGAATTGGTGCTTCGCAATCACTCTCATGCCTTGGGCATCCCTCCATGAAATCTTTTGCAAAATTCAGTGATTTCATGAAAATCTTTTGCAAATTTCAATAATGAATGGGGTGATTTTTAAAGTTCAATGACCATGTGAAAACCTTTTACAAAGTTCAACGATAAATTTGGTGATTTTTAAAGTTCATTGGTATCGTGAGACTTTTTGCATAGTTCAGTGGCCTTTTGATTAATTCACTTCCTGAGGATCACCAAAATTGACACCCTGTTTGTTACCCCTTTTTTTTAAAATGCATTTTTCTCTTTTCTTTTCAACCACACTTTTTTATTAAAATGATATTACACGTTAATAAAAAAAAATTCCTTATTTTTTAACCTCATATTTTTCATCAATTTACTATTTAAAAATACATTTTTACATAAAAATGTCTCCCAAACATTTTCTGAATATAGTTACTGCATGTTTAGTATATAGTACTAGAAGAGACTCGACAGTAAGATATATAAATATAATACTTTAAATTTTCCATTCTAAATACCAACGAGTGTCATATAATCTTTTCTATCAAACGTGATTAGGACCAATTAGCAGTAGTAGATAGTTCTATAATAGATAAACTATAGCCCATGTTTGGATTTCATTTTTCCCTCAAACTCATTTTCAATCTAACATTTTATGATCGTACAACTTTTCAATCCACCATTTCAATAACTTTTATTAAAATCTAATATAATTTTGTTTTAGCTAAACCAAATAGGAGAATAATATTTTTCAATTAATCTTTCCAAGAGAGCTTGGATTTTGATTCGTGCCATAAAAAGTTGCACGAGCTTTGAACCAACGGTTCGATTGGCCATTGATCCCCTCGAAAAGTATGCAAATAATCAACAAACATTTCCAGAAGAAAATAGGAAAATGGAATAGCAAAATTGCCATGAATTGTTTTCGCTTGTAATCAAAACTTTATTCTAAAAGATTATAGAAATCTTGAAATGAGGGATTTCCGTAAGTCCATTTATTGTGTACATCCACGACTGTACCACACGTTTGTCGGTGATTATTATAGAAATCGGTAGTGAAAAATGCGTTTATTCATGTCCTTTAAAGTATGGAAGGGTACGGTTATTGGTAATAAGTTTGGAGACATTAAGAAAGCACGTGCATGTGATTGGCTCGACTTGCACTACGATAATTATTGAAATTGTTTGAAAAAAGTTTGTATCATCTTTTGTAAGTTCTATACGTTGACATATCTTTGGTGAGTTCAGCATTTTCAGAGAATAGGCGATGTCCCTAAATGTTTGAGTTGCTCTTTCATCATTAACCTTCAAAAATGAATATAAGCATTGTTAACCTTTCACTTGGTATACTTCCGGGAAAATCTACCAAAATGCTGGTAAAACTACTCCCGACGTGCACATGATTCGTCTTTTCAAGGTTATTGTTGACCTCGAAAATTGGACCTTCCACGTGGCCAACCGAGAGTTACTCCACGTATTCCTCCCTGCGCACAATCAACGCACGGTCAGACGCACACGGCCAGAACCAGCGGGGGTGGTGCACGACCGTATGCATTCCGATGGTCAAATCAGGTTCAGGTGGTCGAAACGGTATCCAGGGGTTGTGCAAAATAATAAGGGGGAGGAGAAAATATATATGCTTGCTATGAAGTGCTATCTAGTAAGAGTTTTATTATCTTTGCTTCTAGCCAACCCTTGGGCATTTATAGGTGGGATGAACCGTTGGATGTGAGGCACGTGTATACATATGATGGTATGAGGCGTTTGCTCATAGGCGTCAATCAGCCGCGTCTGTAAAGTTGGCGGGTAATTGCTTCTCCCGAGTTGAGTTAACATAAAGTTGATAAGTCACATCAACTAGCCTCATGGTGACGTCAAATCAATTTAAACTTTAAGGGCAGAAAGGATCTTGGCAAAGATCTCCTTTTGAAATTGACGGCGGATCTTCTGACAGAGGTTCCCGGAGTGCACTTCACCTCGGTCTTATAGGCGAGGGCGTTTCGGTCAGTTCAGCAGGATTGCATATGTCTCGCAGTGTGATAGTAGGTCGTTGATATCAGGAAGATCACTTCGGAACCACTTCGGGTGGGTGCCTAACAGATCGGAGTGCGTGGTGGTGGACATTCTGAGGTGGTTTAGAAGGGGCACGACAGTGGTTCCCCAAGTCCAGGTATGAATATTTATATCATAGGTGGACTTGTCTTTCCGACCGGATGTGTATGCCTCGGTACGTGGACCGCGACTTGTGGGAGTTTGTGGGCCGATCTTTTGCATTCGTCGAAGCGATGATCTTAGGTAGATGATATAAAGCTTTGCTACTACGTAAGGAAAACAATTAATCATGTGAGACCGAAGTGCTGCAAGACTAGATGATGCGTAGGAAGAAGGTCAACGCAGCAACCGAAGCGATGACCTACAGTGGACTCGCTTCAGGTGTGTCTAAACTTTGTAGAGTTGAGTGAGGAGCTCATCTGCCATCGGTGCGCTGACCCACAGGGGATGACGCGTTGGGAGATGGCTAAAACTTTGTAAAGCTTAGGAGCGAACGCAACGACCGAGGCAATGACCCACAGGGGAACTTCGCGTCAGGTGCATCTAAACTTTGTAAAGTTGAGTGAGGAGCTCATCTGCCACTGGTGCGCTGACTCACAGGGGACGATGCGTTAGGAGATGGCTAAAACTTTGTAAAGTTTAGGAGGAAACGCAGCGACCGAGGTGATGACCCACAGGGGGACTTCGCGTCAGGTGCGTCTAAACTTTGTAAAGTTGAGTGAGGAGCTCATCTGCCATCGGTGCGCTGACCCACAGGGGACGACGGGTTGGGAGATGGCTAGAACTTTGTAAAGCTTAAGAGGGAATGCAGCAACCGAGACGATGACCCACAGGGGACTCTTTGTCAGGTGCGTCCAAACTTTGTAAAGTTGAGTCAGGAGATCGACCCGAGGTGGGTATCTAACGTTAAATGATTTGACAGCTGTTGCATATTTTCAAGGTGACAGTCGGGTGCCATGCCCATTCCCCTAAAAGGCTGCTGAGGCTACTTATTGTCGACGGCTAGTGGTGACCGAGGTGACACGTTTTATGCGAGTGTGAGGGTCACAGCAAGATCTTAGGCGTAGATCAAATCTGGCATTTCATTTCAATGGCCTAGATTGATGATGCGATGGATGGCCTAGATTGATTGCATTTGAATTCAACGCTGGAGATTAGTTGGAGCGTTCTATAAAAGGCAGACTTTGAGCGTCTTTGAAGCTTTTCACCCTTGTGCAAACAGAAAACTCACTTTGCTCTCAAATCATTAGCCATTTTCGGCATTTTTCGAGCTTTTCCGGCAAGAAATATCAATTTTCAGCGACCTTACACCATTTCTTGACCATTTTCGACTGGGGAAACCTCTGAATTCATAAGTTTCAGTAACTTTTGGGATATTTACTTTCTAAAAATTGGCTTCTGAGGGAAGTTTTGGTTTGGGGGAGGGGACTAGAATTAGTGAGGATGGACGAGCCCATTGTGGCGACCTCCTCTGATATAGCCGAAGCGATACTTGGGGGGGAGAATATGTGGAAGAGACCGGATAGCCTGGTTGATATTTCTGTGCACTGGGGGGCGTCGAATTATCCCTCCAAACTAAAGGAGGCCAACCTAGGGAGACTTAGGGTAGAATATAGGATTCCATATAGCATAAATCTGATCCTCCCCGAGCATGAAGAGGGCCTGCTACCCTAGGCCAGGGTGTGTGGCCATAAGTGAGGTGATCTTTAGAGTCGGCCTTAGGCTTCCAATTCACCCTTTCTTTAGGATGGTACTTAGGTCTTATGGATTAGCTCCGACCCAACTCAATCCGAACTCCTGGAGCCAAATGATGGGCTCCTGGATGTTGTGGAAAGAGGCGACACTTGGGATTGAGATGTCCTTCTCCATCTTTCAGACCCGTTATATCCCTAAAGTAACAGCCGGGGGGGATAAGACCCGGGGCTGGTATTACCTTACTTCATGGGGTTTCTATACTCCATTCGTGCTCGATCTGCCGAGCTCCATCAAAGAGTGGAAGAGCTCGTGGTGCTGGGTCGCAGGACGATGGGACACAATGGAAGGGGACCCCCTGGCACCTATTACGGTCCCCACGAAGTACTCGACACTTAGTGAGTATCGTAGTTGCGTTTCTTTATATTTCTCTTCGGTTCGGATCATGACTAACATTTGTATTTCTCTTAAAGGTACTCTTCCTCTGTGCGAACTATCTTTTGAAGACTTCGACACCATTTGCATCATCTATCAGCTGCCTCAGAAGAAGAGGTCATACCATCAGCTGATCAGAAAAAATCTACACT